ACCTAAATGTATAAGAGAGCAGCACTGTAACCATTCGTGCAATTGATGAATGTTGAGGGTGCATATACATAATAACAAAGTGGACAGCAAGTCAAAGAAGTAGATCGACAGAGCTCTATTCGCTCAGAGTCGTTAGTTTTGTGGTAAGAAGGAGAATAATCGGTCGGCGTCTCTCGATTCGGGTTCGAGCACGGGCAAAAACCATAATAATCGTCGTCCAAGGAACCATCTGCGGCTTCCGAGGCAGACCATGTGTTGTTGAGCCCGCGTGTGCTGGTCACAGACAGCTCAATGTGGTTTGCAAGCTTCTAATAACGCCATCGGAGCCCATACACATATCTTCTACTCCTCCTTTCTGCTTTATACATTGTATGTTGTATATTATGTTATGTTACATTTTTTTCTTTCTCAATGACGATACACGACGTCCAATGTATCTAATGATATAACACGATCTCTTGACAAAGTAATCTTGATCTCCACTTGGATAAAGAAGAGACAGCTTTGACATTTTTCTTTAAAATCTTCAATGTCCTCTTCAAACGCTCTTAATACTTCCTCGATTATATTTAAGATATTTTTTTTCAAGTATTCTTTCTACTCAGGTGGCCTTTATCAGTCGGTGAAGCTTTTTTCTCCCGTGAGACACACCGTTAATCTCAAATCCTAGAAATTTCATTCTAATATTGACAATTATATCTTCAATTCGTTAGACTATCGAGGTCAATGAATCTCTAATTTATTGATCATTTTTCTCAGAATTGTTCATTATTGAAAAAATATTTATCTTTATCATAGTGAATGGATTTACTTAAGAAGATTAAAAATTTTTAAATTTATCTTTAATAAAATTCAAGCATCAAAAACTTAATCAGGATAAATTTATATTTGTTTAAAATAAATTCTATGTTTTTTATAAATATTTTAAGCTTTATTTAACATTTAATTCTATTTCAAAATCAACATTTAACTCCTTATTTAATTAATACTATCATTTTTTAAATTTTATTATCTAATTAATAAATTATGTTTTAAAGAAATTAAAATATAATTTATTGATTGGAAATGACAGATTTTTTATAACAATTATTATCCAAGTAAATTAATATTCAAGATTTAAACTCTAGTGAATTTAGACATTAGAACAGATGCTATAACTTATCGTGTATATCACTGGTGAAAGATTGAGAAAGTGAAAGAATAATTTCGAAAGAATTAGTAAACCCAAATGATAATAAGGATGAACCTTGCGTTGTGAATGAATCGAGTGTTGTTGGCACGCGTCTACCCTCACTTCTCCACTTTCTATGCACTTTCTATATGCACTTGGACGTAGTGTTCGTGGTCCAAAAAAGACCTGGGTATCGCACATGTTCGTCCTGATGCGGACAGGGTGTGCGCCTTTCGAGCCGCAGCTGCCGAACGCACTTCTACACCATTATCTTTCCTTTTAGCTTTGGCGAAGCCCTCAATTTTCTTATAGTCCCATACGCCAACGCTTAACTTATGTCGTTTAGCTTGCAGGCGTATTAAAAAAAGAAAAAAAAACTCGACGTAAAAATATTATAAAAAAAACTAGCAAAATATGATGAAAAAAAAAAAACTAGAAAGAAAGCCAAAACAATCAAAATTTGAAGCATTCAAACAAACTTGAAAAAATGTTTTGATAGGCTTTTAGAATTCTATTAATTAAATTAAATGACCTGAAAGAAGTTTGCTGAGGCTGAGAATAAATTGCCAATAACGAAAAGGAAGTCGATGACTCAGAAGAGGAGGTGAGCTCGTAGGTAGAAGGCGTGAGTCGTAGGTTGTATAGTGTGAGCACCAACGTATATACAAGAGTTACAGTGCTAAAGAGTCCTTCTTGATATTTTATTACTTAAACATATACACTAGAATCATATCATTGATGATGAGCAAGATGAAGAAACCACCCAGAAGCGATCATCAATATGTCTTGAAGGATCATTGAGCTAGTGATAGCTGAGGAAGTGTATTGACATGACAGCAGTGTCTTGTACATGTAGTAGATGAAAAGGAAGCTGAAGTGCGCGTGCCAAACTCGAATTACTTAGTGATACTCGTTGGCCTGATGTTAGGGATCATTTATCGCTTGGTAAAGAAAGATAGAAAGATAGGACCCACCAACAAGAGAGTGCAGAGAAACAGGTAAAATTTGTGCTTGTTTCACTCACTCATTCTCTTTTTCTTCCTCAATCTAACTTTGGCAGCTGTGGCTCCTGAATGCAGACAAGGTATGTAGTAGGAGAGGAAGAGCATGTGCAGATAGATCTTCTTATTTTTCAAAGCCACGTGCTATCTATCGCTTCTTTTCTACCACTTCTCTACCTTCGACCCCTTGCATCAGCAGGCCCCCCTGAAGATTATGAAAATGTTGAGGTACTGAATGCCTGTTTTATATTATTCTTATTCTTCATTGTCGTCATAAATAGGTTCACATCGTGTGTTCATCAGACAAGCCAAGTGTTGGCACGTGCCATGTCAGTTTTTTCTTATTTTTATAGACTGCTTAAAAGATGACACCAGTTGGTACTGCTTCATAAATATATAGCAGTACATAGTATTGATATTAAACTCAACTGGGAATTTAATTTGTTTATTCTTTTATTTAGATTCGTTTATTTCTTTCTTATTAATAAATTCAGAATTTGATTATGGAAATTATAAAAAAACTTTTCATTTAATTTTAAATTATAAAATATTTATTTTAATTATAAAACTTTATTATACGAACAAATTTATAATAAATTTTTATGTTAAATCAAATTGTATCAAAATTTGGTATTTAATCATTTAAATCAAAATACATTGATTAAAATCTATCTTGTCATAAGAGAAATATTCATTCTCGATCAATAAAAGATTGGATAAGAAAAATAAATATTTATCACTCTAGTACAATTGGTAAGAGTTAGGAATCTCATTCAATAATCTTGATGAAAATCAAGATGAAAAATTGAAAAGATGAATTTCCATGTATATTTAGTAACTAAATAGAAATGCAGATTATTAAAAACTCCAACTTAAATTTGAAATATGAAAATGATAATTGAATAGCATGAGGGAACTAATAGAATTTAACCAACTGGTGGTTCCAACAATAGAAATAAGGGATGTTGTAAAAGAGTAACCAAACCCTTGATCCCTCAAGCCTTCAAACACAATAGTTAGGTTATTCTACGCTATCTTTACATCCGGAAGCTTGAAAGACTTATTCAGTTGTGTGTGCTGCTACGAATGTCGAAAAACGTGAGTAGACCAACAAAATCTTTATACACATATCTGGAAAGAGCTAGAACGGCTGCATCCGACTTGAGCATACATAACACATCTGATATAAATCCAAAGAGGGTCAGTTTTTTTTTCTGTTTAACATGAACTAATACATTCAAGGGTCTATTAAGGCTTTCCACTATGTGCTGTCAGCGATGCCAGCAGCTGGCCTTCTTCTTCATCCACCCCCGAATATATAAATCTCTAGCCACGTGCCAAAGAAATTCTGATTCTCATTATATCTCCTAAATTGATCAATTATTAATTCATTTTAAAAATTTATACTTACTGAAAATGATATTAAAAAAAAAAAACTAATAAAGACGACAATATTTTCACACTGAAAGATTATTTTAACTGACTAAGTAGTAAGTTGGAATCATAGAGATAATCATCTGATTAGCGGAAGTTACGCGCGAACTCGCGTAATTACAAAATAAGTCGAAATAAAGCGGTATGTTATAGAGAAGAATAAAACGAAAAAAGAGACTAAGAGAAAGAGAGAGGGTTACATACAGGAGGGAAATGGCCAATTATTAATAAGACCAAGAGTGCACGTGGGACGATGACGACGCATGTTCCAACTCGTGTGTCACCTACTTACAGTCATGACAAATTCCATTGCAGAGTTTTCTCTTTGTATGTTTTACCTATGCCTAGTGGTTATCTTGTTGATAAAATACTCGATAAGATTACTTGATATAGATAAACTGTATATGGTCACATTGTTGGGTTTTTAAGCTGAACTGTCAGGTGTTAAAATTAGTTATACTTAATTTTCTTTCTCATAATAGTATGTAATCAAAAGGTCGTGTTTATCTATATATATTATACGTGACAATTTTGTTAAATATTCAATAGATTTTTCCCAAATTACCATAGTCTTCAAAGAAGCTATGAACAGGACATTTTATTATTGTCAAAACATTTAATTGTATGTATTCTTTTTATACCTTTATTCTAAATAAAAGTAATATCTTCAATAACTTTGTTATCAAAAACTTGTCCCAATTTCAATTTTATAATGTCAAGCTTATAAGACTTGAAGATTAGTTTTAACTTAAACTTCTTATCCAGTTACTTTAAGAACAATACATATAACATAATAGCATCTTTTATAAATCTAATTGGTCTGTATTTTTTAATTGAGATAAAATGTCAAACAGTTATAAACTTACGATTAAAATTGGTACAAACATGAAAAAAAACATTTTCAACATGACTATATTTTATAAAGTTGTAAATATTTATTTCTAAGTATGTCGTTGAGAATCATACATTTAGCTGTGAGAGTGATCCAAATTTTTATTGGAATTATACTGTACGATGATTTCAACTTCGTTAGGCTGAATAGAAGTTAGCTATGAACGTTTCACTTCATTGATCTCTATCATGATTACAATATTTTTTTCCATGAACTTGCAAATTGTGTTTCATTTATCACGTGCAAGTTATTTGATTAAACTTGATTTATAATGTAGATATTAAAAAAAAATAGTTGATGAATTTTCCATATCTGTTTGATGGAATAAACAGATTTGCATCATCATATATGATTCATCCAGTTTTTTATTAATATGTTACAAAATATCAGGCTTTCATATGTGAAAATCTCTCGCATGTCACATATTGCATCCCCTTTGATCATAGATAGATCACGCATCTGCCCAGCAGCAGCTCTTCTAACCGATGGTGTTTTATTACAGGGAGACGACGACACGTGCGTCGGAGTTATGGAGCACCTGGTATAACTACATCAGGAGCATTGATCCATGGTCCTGATCAATTACCTTCATTATCACCACCATTAGAGATTCAAGAAAAAAATCAGCTGAAACTGGACAACCCACAGCTTACTCTAGATCCCAGAAGAGGCAGTGATGACTCTCTAGATGATGTAAGGCTTCGTCAATGTTATCTAATATGTCGGAGACAAGCCCAGGAGTCTCGTCATCAACAAGTGACAGAGTCCAAGTCTGAGGATCGTCTCCAAAACGTTGAAATGCCGGAAGACAGTCTTTCAAGGATAACTGGCTTAAGAAATTCAACGACAACAACTACCATTACAACCACAAGACATTCACATCAAAGAGGTCAAGAGGAACATCTTAGTGATAATTCTAGAGTGGCAAATAGAACGTCATCATGTCGTCAAGAACAATCCTCAGGGTCTACGGGAGTCGCTAGGTTTCACAGAAGACGTAGGATACCATCATACCTTGCGACCTTACTCGTTCTCTCTTATACATTCTTTGGAATAGCAGGTTTGTGGTTTATATTCATTATTATTTTTTTGCTTTATCATTATTAACTTCTGGGTTTCGTTTTTGGCATCATGCACTTTTTTACAAGAATTTTGAACGATCGTTAAATTTCAACAGGTGACAGATAGCACAGGCAGATGCGACCTATACGAATTTTGATGGTACAACAAACGAGCAAACGGTTCCTTCGTTGATGGCGCACGCACTTTTTTATGTTATTTCTTTCCTTCTTTGCTCGTTCTACAAGACTCTCTTTCAAGCAGTTCTCGAATATCGTGGGCTCTATTGTAGTGAGGGGAGAAATTTCTAAAGCTATTATTTCATGCTCGAATTTGGGTGTAACGTACACTTCCTATCGAATTCTTCAACAGTAGAATTAATCCATTAATTTTGATCGGCTTTAAAAATCTTCATTAATTTAATCATATATTTATGATTCTGCCATGATTTTTCAATCAAAAATATCATTTCAAACTTTTGGATTCCATATTCTTTATATTATCTTTAAAAATTTCCATACAATACATATCATTCAATTATAATTGCAGTAGTTTATTTTTAATTATATTTATTATTCGAGACTTGAAAGAGATTTTTAAAATAAAAATTAAAGTCATTCTTATTTGATATTGTAATAAATTAATATTGCTTATAAAAAAAAAAGATATCAAATATTTCAATTCGAAAAGGTACTTAAATTACAGCATATAACATGGATATATATACACTATTAGGAGTTATTGATTATAATAATAATAATTTTAAATATTGACAAATTTTCTGTGGACAATAATTGACACATTAATCTTGATTTATTAAAAAAGTAAAAATAATTTATAATTAAATTCTTAGTTTTCAGATATAAATAAAATTTTATACATGCGAGACATTTCATGAAATCTAAATTTGCAATTATAATATATTTTTATTTAAAAATGACAGGAAGTTAAAAATATAGATTTATGAATAAACTAGGTCGTTAGTTAATTCACTTACGCCTACTGGTAAATAGTATAGTATAAAAGATTTAGAACGGAACTAGATGATAATAATAAATATCAAATTTATAAGAATTTTTTTGCAAATTTCTAATTCTTTGACTATTTTTAGATGCATGTTCGTCGAGGTCTACGCCTAAGCCACGTCCACCAACGTCAACACCACGGCCAAGTACCGTCACATACCAGCAAACTGTATGTCCACCAGATTACGCAGAATGGTATTGTTTAAATGGAGCTACTTGTTTTACTGTGAAAATACAAGAATCTCTACTTTATAATTGTTTGTAAGTATTAGTAGATAAAAAAGGAAAAAATAACAATTTACTTATATGACTAAAGTGAGCATTATTTAAATGACTTACGAGACTTTTATACTTGAGAAAAAATGGTTACACAGCTGCATAATTATGAGAAAATAATTCAAAGTAAAGGAAAGAGGCACTTGGACCTATTTAAAATGTCTGAGAGACATTAAAATGCAGATTGCAGGGCCTCTGACCTTTGATTCAATGCATAACATCTAAAGTCTAGACTGCGCCAATGCAGTAGTTATCTACGTCACGCTATAGGGGGTTGGTCCTGGCCGGTCGATTTTCACCCTAGTCACTTTGATATACATTTCAAGAAATACCAATAAAACGGTTAGGCCTGATTTTTCAGAGCTTAAAATAATTCTTAATTGAAGGTATATTTATAAGTTTTTGTTTCTTTTTTGAGGTCGAATGATTTTAGTTTGTTCATCTTTATACTTTACCCTTACCTTCTTCTCGGTGCGAAACGAAAGAGTTTGGCGGATCGACTCCGACAAAGCAAACAGCGTGGGAAACTGGAAGCTCGAGCGAGCACAACCACTCTTGTGATTCCCCGCTCTTTTATTATTATCCTTCGTGTCTTTCTTTCTCTCTCACTCTGTCCTACCTCTAGACTCTTTCATTTTGACTCTGCGGTAGATCTCTCTTCGACAACTCTCAATTACTTTGTTCATTCTCTTGAAGAATAAACGAAATGAGAAAAACATGATAATAATAATGAGTTAATTCTACGAAAAATCTATTGTTAATAACTTATTTTAATTTTTCACTTGAAGTCGCTGTTGATGAAAGTGTATGGATAAGAGACTTTAAAAATATATATATGAGAGCAAGGAAATAATAATAAAAAATAAATAATAAAAAGCGTGAAGAATTGTACGGTGAGACTTGGCATAGATTTTTCACCAATGAGTTTTTAAGAATAAGGGATTTTTCTCTTTTGATTTCACATTATTTATTTTACCAAGGGCGAGGATAATCCTAAGGTTTCGTGGCCAAACACGTTCAACTAAATTCTATGCGGGTTTTAACATCACGAATGTAACATATACATGTATACATATATGTATTATATAATAAAATATATATTAAAATTGAAATAAAATAAAAATCCATGTAAGTATACATAGGTGTATAGAGACGATCGTTAAAATACTTACGTTCTACTTATCTCATTTTCTCGCTCTCATTACTAGACTCTCATGTGCCGACTGAGAGGCCGACACGCTTTGAATTCTTAGGTACTATATTCAAAGAGAAAATGGTATTTAAATTTTTCTTTCACACTTGGGGGTCCACAAATTAGTTTTGTCAGGTTGTATACACCATAACAAATATACGGAAAAATTGGATTTATTTTCTTCATTCAAATAAAAATTATTTCACACGGTCAAGAAGCTTCTTTAAAAAAAAATAGCTGATAAATATACTCCAAGATATATTGTTGTTGGAGTTGATTATTTTTTGTAACTATTTTTAATATTCTCAACTTTACAATTCGTGGTATGGAAATCTTATTAATCAAAATTTTTTATCAGTATGTATTTGATTGAATAAATATGTAACATTTTTTATCAAGATAGCAACTTTATTTTTTATCACTTCATGATTCAGATCAATTTAAATGATCTCATAATGCGCGGATGTAAAAATAACAATGACTTTTGATAATCATCAATTTTATAATATTTATTATTATATTTTTAGATAAATCTACTTTATGATGAACAAAAAAAAGCTTTATAACGTTACTTTAAATAGGTTCATTTTATAAAATGAAATATCGAAATTTTTCGTGTATTTTAACAGTTAATTACTTGTGTACTTTAAATTCAGAGCTGATATATATTTTTTTTCATAAAAAATTGTATTTACAAGGATATAATAAAAGAATAATTCGTACATATTGTATGTGTAGGAGCACGTGTTGAGTTAACAATTAATTTATTAATGTAATCATAAAGGTTTAATTAATTGATGAAACCGTTAATGTGAGAAAAATTGTCGTGGGAATGGTATCAATTATAGCTACTCAATTATTCTTCTCGTACTGCAAAAAAGTGAAAAAAATCATGATGAGATATCAACCTGACGTTAATTAGCCCCTTGATCCATTATTTCCGCCAAGTATTTTCGAGGAATAAATTCAAAAAACATACTTATGATTGAGTCATTATATTTTAAATGATTTTTATCGTACCTCGTTAAGATAAACTTAATTTTTAAGTAACTTTAAAAAATTTTTTTTCTTTTTCAGATGTGCTCATGGATTTGTAGGTCAAAGGTGTGAATTCAAGGACTTGGATGGCTCCTACTTGCGTAAGTACATGTGCACTTATCTAATAAAATCTTTTTACTCCTACTCATAAACTCAATTGAATAGTCAAACTTATTATCTCTGGTTATTTTTTAACAGCTTTCAGACGAAGGGTAATGCTGGAAACTGCCAGTATTGCGGGTGGTGCCACAATAGCAGTATTTCTTGTCGTTATTATCTGTATAGCAGCTTACATTCATTATAAACGCAAGCAAAAAGAATTACGAACGAGGTAAATGATTATTTAAAAAAAATTTTATGCCATAATTATTTGTAATATTTTTAAAATTAATGTTGGATGTATTTTTTTTCATTTAATGTAGCAGTACCTGCGTTGATACAGTTGATGGTCCTGGTCGCACTCCAGAGTTAAGGCCATTTAGTAACCGCAATCGGTTCCTTAAGAATTTTATGGCCAAGAATTCAAATTGTTCAGTGAGCATTTTATTTATTTTTCTTCTTTTTTATTACATCATTTTTGGAGGTATCAATTTTCTTTTTTTTTCTTTTTTAGTTAACAATGTGTCCATCAATACAACCAACGAGAATGCCTGGTTGGAATGATTATTCACAGGTAGAACTGACGAGACTAGCATCGATCAACGAAGCCAAACGTTCGAGTCAGTAATCAATCATTTAAGACTATTTATATTGCATAATTAATATTATAATATAATTATATAAGTTAAAGAAATGATAAAAATTATTTGTTAAGAAAAGAAGCAAAAACTCTTCTTTCCTGTATAAAATTACAAGAGTGAAAGAGTATATTCTTTTTGTAAAAAAGAAAAACAAAATATCTTCTTGGTAGAAGAATAGACTAAAATATTTCTACTCTTTGAGGAAAAAGATGTAGAAAATGGGAGAAAGATAAGGGAGTGGATAAAAAAAAATTGTCGACGCAATTTTCAATAGCTTGCCCGTTTTTTTTTTCTCTCGACTACTGTACATGTTCCTTTCCCATTTTGAGTCCGTCGTTTCACGCTCAATGAGCCTCATAAGTGCCTTCCAAAGTGTCCGAGGAAGTTAACGAGCGAGCGCAAGAAAATTGCCTGTGTCTCTAGGTCTCATTTATAAGAGCAACAAAACATATTTTCAAAGGTTTCCAAAATAGTAAAAAAATTGTATATTTGTAGATAGAAAACTAATAACTCATGACCCTCTATTATATTTTTTCTCTCAATTATTTTCCATTATATCATAATATGGCACATCACAAAACAATAGTCTTTTCTTCAATATTGACTGAATCTATTTTGGCATAATATTAGTAATAATTCATACAAATTTAATTGTCCTCATACAGTATTTATTCTCTTTTTGCTTGAGACTGTTAATGAAATAACAGAAAAAATAGGAAAAATAAATCAATACGGTACAGAGAAATAGAAGTAAAAATATAAAAATTATAAGTAAATTAATAAACAATTTATTTAAAAACAAAGTATGTACCGTAAAAAATTATAAATATTATATAGATGATAATAAAAAACGATGTAGTGTATTAATAATTTAATAATCTACTCAATGTTATAATTGGTTCCTAATTTATTCTTATTATTATATTATTATCTTTATAATTATTAATATTATTATTACTGCTATTATTATTCTTATAATTATTATTATCATTGCTATTAATATTATTATTCATAATTGTCATTATTATTGTAACAATAATTATAAATATTATTATGATTAATCATTGCCTATTAATCATAGTTAAGGATAAATACGATTGAAATTCGTAGAAAAATTAATAAGTAGAAACAAAAGCCAGTGGAAAATTAGAATAATTGTTTACAAAAAATTCAAAGCTTTGTAAAAAAAAAAAAATTATAATAGTACCAGTGGTGGCCTTTAAGTTTTATAATTCTAGAAGCGCTTCTTTCTTCCTATTAATATTAAAAACAATAGTTATAATATAATGCATTGCGATTAGATTGTAAAAATGCAAAAAAACGAAGATAAATTAACAAAATAGACTTCAAAAACTAGTTATAATATTTTTTTAGTACATCAGACAGCGTAGCGATACGTCATAAAGCTCAAGAGAGAGGAGAGAGAGCAATATTTAATTAAAAATATCATAGAATTTATTTAATTTAATGATTATTTAATTATTTAATTTAATAAATCAATAAACAATTTCTTTCTAAATATTTAAATATTATCTTTATTAATTATTGCCTAATTTCAAAAGTGATTTAAAAATGTTGTATTCGTCAATATTTCAAGTGCAGACAATAAATTTTATTACTCATTAAAGTAATTTAAAATTCCATTTTTTGCTCTCTCATTGTCTTCTTGATGACTTTGCATTCGCAATTATGACCAGCGGATGGTGGGTACCCCGTCCGACAATTGAAACTCCGTATTCACATGTATTACGGTATTTTTTTCTGTCCATTAATGAAGAAACAAAAAATACAAATAAATAAAATAATGTACCAAAGACGCGTTATTGAACTGATTCAAACACAAAATACATTATACAGTAAAATAGAACATTTAGAGAGAGAGAGAGAGAGAAAACAATGAAAAAAGTACTATAGCATGTTTAAAATGTTAAAAAAAAATGAGTAGAAAATAAAAAATAATAAATAATCCAAAGTAACTCATGTGTCACCTGATTAACAATTTGGAAGTTGAATAATCCGAAGAAGCCACCTATATTCCCGTATGCAATGTCGTATATACATTGTGAATTATTTTTGTAAAAAAAAACCATAGTGAATGTATGTATAAAAAATTAGATAAAAAAATTTTTAAAAAATTATTATACACGAAATAAAAAATAAAAATTTTGTTTAATAATTGATATATTAATCTAACGTACTTTACGCATTGAAACATAAAAATATTTTGATTATCATGATCATAACAATTATTACTATCAGTATTATTATTAATTTGGTTTTATTATAAATTAATAATACAATTAGTTCAAGAACTTATAAAAGAAATTAAACATCTTATTGGCGTATCTTTTTACAAAAAAAAAAAAGTTTATAAACAAAAAATTTCGAATCTTTGGATTTAATATATAAAAGCTAGATTATCTTTTTTTACATTTTTATTCTTCTTAGATCCTTTCTTGTATATTTCATCAGATCAGGAAAGGTTCACCGAACTCTCAATTATTTCATGAGCGATAGACCGAAAATACTTGAATATTCATAAGTAATAACTCTTTCAAATACGGAAGATAGTTCATTTAAGGCATTTTCTGCTTGATATCATTCTTTATCCATTATTTTTACAAAATTTCATTAATTACATCTTTCTCTTTTTTTTAAATTGTTTCCAGAAATTTACGTTACGTAATTCGAAAAATATATTTAATTGTTCTTCGAGTTCTGATGATAGACTTTGTGGTGGTTCCCACATACTAATTGATTCAGCAATTTGATTAAAGTTATGCCGACTTAAGCTTAATAATGCAAATACTACACCCTCTTGTATATCTATTGAGGCTGAAATAATAATTTTATTAGAACAAAATAATTAATCATAATAATTGAACAATTTTCATTATGACACTTACTTGCTCCTGAATCAAGTATGGCACAAAGTTGATCAGTTATTTTTTTCACATACCCATTTTGATCAACTATAGGAAAACTTTTCATTAAATAACCTGAAATAATGATACATTGAATTAATTTAAGATATTTATTAAATACTTTTTTTCATACTTACCTAATAATTTTAACGCTTCACGAACATTGGAACTTTTGTTTTCAACGATCATTCCCAGTAATCCTCCGCTAATGATATTTTTATACGTCCATTCACTACCTTCTTTTTTAGAAAGAAGAATAATAGCCGTATATACACTTCTATCATGGTCAGGAGTCATTAAATCAGTTAAAAGTTTCTCAACAAAACTTTTAGATGTTAGAAATTCATCTGGATATTTGTACATATTCCGAATAAGCTTATTGAGCTGTGTTATTTTAGTGCTAACTTCATTTTGCGTATGTTTGAATGTCTTTACAGCATGAGCAATACAGGCAGGTAAATACTGAAACCGGTCTTCTTGATGAGAAGGCAAAACTTCTGGCCAACTTGTAATTACTGCAGATAAAATAAACATACCCTTTTTTTGAAGACAATACAAAACGTCGCAACACATGATTCGAACACGTTCACGATCTTTTTTTATCTTAGCCAATACTGTAAATATTCTTGCTAATTCTTCTGCTGCTTCATATGATATATTTGAATTCATATGGAAGATAGTGTATTCAATACTATTTAAAACATCAATAATTATATTTTTTAAACCATCAAGTTTCTTGAGTAATGCTACAATTTTTTGTTGATTTTTGGTCATCATTGGAGCAGGAGGAGTAAATGTTCGATCTAAAGGTTCTTTCAAATCAGACAATTCAATTAATAATTCCACAACGGATTTAGCAATAGATCGATTATTGATTGTCTTTAAATTATTTACTATTTGTTCATTCTCTAAACTAGTCCAAGTTTCTGCATCAAGTAAATTTTTCAATTCTATTTTTACATACTCTTCAGCACCTTTTGCCAGTTTCATTGCCACTTCGTGGTGGAACTTTGACCATTTTTTGGTAGATTTAGGCTTTCCTTGCAATATATATTGATCTAATAACGATTTAGAACCATTATTTTGACGAAATGATTTGTCATTGCTATCATTGATTGTTTTTAATGGACTTATGGCTACTGTTCGATTTCGAAGGTTAATTACACAATCTTTGTAAAATTCACTTGTAGATATTGATGTTTTTGAAAGTTTATCTGATGGAACTGGATTATTTGAAGTACTAGACATTGTAAGTTTTGGATATATTTCTTTAGTGTTAAATGTTGTATCTAATGATGCTGACAATTCTCCTGGCATTGATGATTCTTTTGGCTTAGATCCTAGTGATACTGACAACTCTTCTAATTTAGAATTTGGTGATGCTAAAGATTTTTCTGGTTTCGAACTCAGTGATAGTGAAGTTTCTTCTATTTCAGACTCTGATGATGCTAGAAACTTTTCTTGCTTTGATTCTGACGATGCTGGAGACTCTTTTATTTCCGGTTGTGATGATGATAGCGAATTTTCTTGCTTTGACTTAGACGATACTGGAGACTCTTTTATTTCCGGCTCTGATGATATTAGAGGCTCCTCTTGTTCCAATAATATTGGAAATTTTTCTACCTTCGAATCTGATGATACAAATAATTCATTAGAGAGCTCTGGATTATTTTCTAAATGAATTCCCTCATTTGATTTATTTTCTATTAAATTTTCGAGATCAATAAGCATATCTGATTTTTTCATGTCAATTTTATTCACTTTTGATAGTGTTCCTAAACTTTCTTCTTCTTTATTATTATCTAATTCGTAGCTAATACTTGAAGTTTTATTTTCACAATTATTATTTAATCCCTGAGTTTTATCACTATCTTGTCTTTCTTGGCCATTTGAATGCGTTTTTTTGGAAATATCTAGTGCAGAATTTGAATCTATTTGATTTTTATCAAATGAATTTTCATTATCTTTTTGATGTTCTTGTTGAAAACTGCTATGATCATTTGTCACATTTGTCATGTTATTGATAATTGAGTTTTCTTCACTTCTAAGAGAATTTTGAGATTCTTTTTCTAGAGATGTATTTGGTGATAAACTAGATTTAGCCATAGAACGAGTAACTCTTAATCTATTTAAAATTAATTGTTCTTCATGATTTGTTTTAACTGAATTATTCTTGGGATCATCAAAACAATCTTGTTTTGGCATATGGGCAATTCTTCTTTTTTTTATAGGTGTATCATTTAATTCTTCAGTACGTTCAACATTATCCAAAGTTTCGTTCCTAAAAATTTTTGCTGGAAGTTTTGTAGATTTATTTCTCAACTGTCGAAGTCTTGTTAATAAACTGGACTTGACAGAAGCAGTATTGGTGTTGGTTTTGCGTTTTTTCTGCTTCTGGACTGCACCTTTATGTAAACTAGAAGGACTAATTAATTCAATTGACGTTGCGTTTGAAGAATACAATTCATCGAAACGTGTGTTAATATCGTAATTGACATTTCTTTCTTCATGATGATTATTATACGTTGGTTTTTGAACCGGTATAATCTCACTTACTTTATCGACTTTTTTTATTTGACTGTTTTCAGAATTTTCGATTAAAGTATCTGAATCAACGTTTTTTTCGATATTGGTTATTTTATTACTGCTTTCTTCGTTGTAATTTACAGTGTAGTTATCATCACATTGATTTTCTGTATGATTATTATTCTGTTTTTGATATTCTGAATAATCATTGATTTTTTCATCTTCTATATGATCATTATCATTTGTTCGTTTTTTCCTTGATTTTTTAGAAATTTTGTTTGCTTTTTCAATCTCTGTGTTACTATGATGTTTTGGTTGACAATTATCAACTTCTTCCAAATTTTCTATGCAATTTTTGTTTGTACTACAACGAAAACTACGATTATTTCTTGTATGATTAATTAGTGGTGTGTAAATTGGTGTATGTAACGATTCTGAATCAACATCAGTATTTTCAGCATTGTCAAAATTACATGGCTCAACATTCCAATTATCTATACAATTATTTTTTTTGCGATGAATTTTCTTTTTACAACGTTGTAGTCTTTTTGTTCGATTTTTCTTTTTTTTCTTATTTGAATGCATTGTATTAATTAATGTTGTCATCATATTCATCAATGAAAAACTATCATTCATAGAGTTATCACGACAACAATTTTGTACATGTGAATGATTACAAGGAGGAACATTTTGATAAAAATTTTGAGTTTGTTTTATTTGAGAAACTCGTTTTTCTAATTTTTTGAATTTTTTTTCTAAATTTTCTACAATCATGGACATGTTTGAATGAATAACAGGACTCGTTTCATTTCGTTCATGAACAGGTGATCGAGAAAATTCAGTTATCAATGGTTTCATTTGCATTCCATCTAATATTTCATCCACTGGTTTAGAATTAAGTAAAGTGCGACATTTATGACAAAATAAAGGATATGGATTATCTTTAAGATCATAATACTCATCAGTCATGATATTTTTATCAATGCAAATTGGTTTTTCAGATAATTTATGTTCTAAACTAGATAAATTTATTTTAAACTCATTTTCTAAAACTATTTCTGGAGCATCTGAAAGTTTTTGAACTTCAATATTAGCTGAATTAGTGTTTTGGCATTCTTGTAATATTATATTATCAGACTCAGATATTGACTCAGGTTTGGGATCATTTTCTTCAATATCAATACAATTTAAATCGTTTTCCAAAACTGGGAGACCTACAGTTTTTTGACTGTTCAAAGACTTTCTGCCTCTCTTTTTCAGTTCATTTGGTTTGGTAGGACTTACTGAACCCATTTTCCCACGATTTTTTTGTAGATTTCGAATTTCACGTTCCAACTCTTTAACTTTACCTTGTAACCCTGATTTTTCGAGTTCCATTTTCATTATTTTATCTAAATTTTGATCTTCCATTTCTTTGAGTTTACAAACTAATTGTTGAATATATTGTTTGTCACTTGCAATTTTAATTTCATATTCTTCTTTAAGCTTTGCAACATCTTCAGATGCTTTTCGTAATTTCTCATTTTCTAGTTGCAATCTTACTGCATCACTTTGAACAGCAATATTTCGTTTATTTAATTTTTTTTCGGTTAATTTCAGTGCCGATTGTAATGTTTGTATATTTGTAGTCATTTGTTCATTTTCTTTAATTTTGTTATTGTACTTTTTAATTAAATCTCTGAAAAAAAAAATTATTACAATTCTCAATTTAACAGTTTTATAACGATTAATTATTTTTAATGAAAATAACTTACTGAGAACAAAAGATTTTTCTCTTCAATATAAGAAAATCTTTCTTTAACTTTTCCAATTTGTCTTTACATTCCTAAAATCAAATATAAATAATACATTAATTACGTAGAATTCACGTTGACAAATAACCTTACACAATTTCAATTACTCTACTGTATTAAATAAATGATAAGTATTACTTACTCCATAGCACATTTCTCCAGCATTGTCTTCTGGTGGAGGTGTGTCTAAAATCTTCTCCATTATTAATAATATTTTTATTGTCAAAACAATTACACGTTGTCTTAGTAATTTGAAGATTCTGCTACATAACCTCGCCGGTATGATGATGGTTGTTTTTACTCAGGAGTATTATAATATTAAACATTGGATAGTTTAAACAGACCGAACATATTGATTTTCAGTGTTTTTCTTTCAATATACAACTGACAAAATATTTTTCTAAGTAAATGTTAACAAAAAAACCTGGTTAAAATGATTTAACCTTTAATTTTATAAATTTAAATTATAAACCTATCTTTCATACTCAAAGTTGAAGTATACATATATTGTATGTTTACTTGTTACTATTGTTTTTGCACATAATATTCCAGCAGATGGTAATCACATTCACTTTCTTATCATCTGTTAATTAATGTTTTTAATTTGAAAGTGTACTGTTTCATCTAGTTTTAAGATCATTTATTTTCATTGAAAGTAGTTAACGAGAATAGATGTTAATAAATTATGAATATTCCTAAATTAAATATTATTTTATTTTTTATTATTTACGTAATTAATCATTATTCGTTATACGAAGAACCACCAGATAATTTATTAATTATAGCTAATCAACAATAATAATGTCGAATCCTTTATTAATGTAAGGAGTTTTAGTTAAGATAATTTTAATTATTTTCTTTAGCTCAATGAAGCTTATTCTTTAAAAAACCTTGAAAAATCGTGGAGCTAGACTTTAAACTCAAATTTATTTATTACGACATATAAACAAGATGTCTACGACGTAAGTAAGTACATACACCATTTACATAAGTATGCATAATAAAAATTAAAAACTTGCACTAAAAGTATTTGTAACCCTTAAAAAGTCAAGACTTTTTTTAACATAAATTTTAAACAAAGCTAACAATCTTATTAAATTTCAAATAACTTTAATAACAATTTTTAATTAATTCTTCGGTATAAGTGAGCAACAATAAGACAATTTTAATATTATAATTTTAGTTTGAAGTATCAAAATTGTTAACTTACTATGAAAAAAGATAATTTCAAAAAGTCAATCTCAGTTTAATGTGACTTTGATCATCAGGAACTCATGGGTGACGTAGAGGACACTAAAGTCATTGAACAAACTTCAGTTGTTGACAATCATCAAAAGATTAGAGAAACATTGTTGTATATACAGTTTCAATTAAAAACACACTTAATATTTAGATAACTATCAATTGTTTCCAACATTATGACATTATGAGCACTACAATTATGTAAAATACTTTCTATTACGTTAATTTCTATAAGATTCTTATTAGGAAAATATAAAGTTAAAGAAGTCTAATTCCTAAAAATCATATAACTTACATGGATAACTAGTATTGATTTTTTGACTAAGTATTGACACAATTTTTAAAATATTTTTGAAGATTAATATTTTTTTCTGAAATAATTTTTAATAAAATCAACTGTCTAATTGATAATAATGGAATTGGTTTTTTATTCAGTATATATAATAATTTTATTCAAATGTCTAATATTACAGTAAATAGTCACAAAATTATTAACTGCATACTAAGAAATGAATTGCAAAATTAATTTTTCTTGGTATACCCATTGACATTTACATGTGAAAATAGGAAATTTACGCCTGCAGGAATGATTAGTAATAAATTGTATAGACAAATAACAATAGAAAATAGCTTATAATCATTTTAGCGTATAATTTGAAAGTGATGGTAGGGTATGATGGTTAGATGATCGTTTCTCTTACTTCATAAACTTTAGTTTGATGTAATCCTAAATAACACTTTCGATGTATCTCGATGTTACTTGGAAAATTGTGATTGTATATTTACTTATTTTAAACTTAAATTAATTGCCTTTCAAATTGAACTATTTCTCGTAGAACAATTTCTGTGGTTCCAATTTGGAAATGTGATTCCATTTATTTAAAAATCTGGAAGATCAAACCACTCCAATGTTTTATTTTTAGTCTTATCTAACTTGTATCGGATACACTTTTTATGACTGCTTCTTGAGCTAAAATTAATTTTTTAAAGATCATTAATAGATTAATTACTCTATTAGTTAAAAACTAATTACCTATCGTATTTTGCGCAAGATTTTATTGGATAATCATAGCTAAAACATTGAGGTCGTAATATATTAAAGTATGTGATGCCAACATTTCTTGAAATGACTGTGTTTACATTTTTTAAACATTTGTAAAATTGGAAATCACATAAACAAGCAGACCTTGAAAATAAAGAAAAAAAATTATTTTAAAATTGGCAAATTTGTTGAGGAGTATATTTATACAATTTTATTCAATTTAAATTAATTATTGAATTTTAAATAAGCTTAGAAGTTTCATGATTAGTTAACGAAATTATTAAATAACTATATATAATTTATTTATTGTTACTACCTGGTAAAAATTCCATTATTCTTCAACAAACCCAAATATTCTCCAGGCTCAATGTAAAATGGACATGAATCATGTTGACGACAACAATTATCTGTCTTCCAAAAAGTGCCCAAATGGCTCATACTTTTTGCAATATTTCCATCACCGCACCATAAAGTACCTGTGGATGATTTATATTAATAACAAAATTAATTATTATTAATATTTACCAAATTAAAGACAAAATAAATATTAAATAACTTTCTCAAATAATTGTGGTTGAAGAATTATTTACCCGGATATATTGTTTGGTAACCATAACCATTTTTTAAATCATTAATTATACCATACAACTGAAACGCCCTTTCAGTTTTTACTTCCGGATCATCATTAGAACTTAACGTAAGAAAATCTCGAAACGGTGGAGGTAATGTTAATAAAAGTGTTGTGATAAGTTTATTTAAATTAAATATTGGTTCACGAATATTTAAAATAGTCACAAAAATTTGAAGAATCTTTTCAACATTTGATCTATATGTTGCTTTCATGTCAATTTCATTATCAATATAATCTTGGTCATCAAAATCAGGAACATTTTGTGTGTTGTCAATATCATTTATGCTATTTTCACTGCTTTCAAATAATTGCGTATAAACAAATTGTCTTGTCAATGTAATAATTATTATAATTAAAGTTATATATCGAATCAAATTCATCTTTACATTAATAAAAAAACAATAATCAATCTTGAAATTAACTAATTAATTTTTGGAATTGTTTTCCATTTTTAAAAAATCATAGTCACTTAAAGTTTTTTTCAATTAAGTTATTAGTAATTCTTTAGTGTGATATAATATTCATATAAAGAAATAGTCAAAAAAGTTTATGTACTATTGTTTATGTTATGAACACAAGCGTCAATAAACACAAGAATCACACGAATAACTGCTAGGATGCTTGTTCAGAGTTCAGTAGAACACGGTACATCCAGTAGTGAAGTAACTTAAATTATGCGAATCTATATACAATCAACTCCCACAATATTATCCATAAGTTTCATCTTTTATCTTGCTTCATCAAAGTATCTTGACGGAACTTAAATTATTCTTTAGATTCACTGTTTATTCTCCACCTACTTTTTAATAACTGACATTACGTTTTTTTTTGGAGCAGTATAATTTTGTTGAAAATTTTAATTATATAAAAAATTAAGTACATCATGTAATCGAATTAAATTCTCGGTTAAATATGAAAATTAAAAATTATGTGTATAAATAACGAAAATATTTCAAACAATAATATATGTACAAGTCCATTTTATTGTTTACTTCATTATTATAAGTTAGAGTTTATAATGTATTTTGTTAATTGTATTGACAAATAATGTATTTGTATTGCTCGATCATCAAAAATTTTCATTTTATAATTAATTCACAATTCTGGAGTTTCAGGAAATGATACTTTAGGTTTATTTGCATTTTCGGATTCAGGTTTATTTGATTTGTTAGATCGTAAAACAGCTCCTGGACTAGGATATGGCCTCATTTGATAAAGAGGTCCCGTAGCAGTTGTATCAGCTCCAGTTTTAGCTTCGTTGTGACGAGCTAATCCATCAGACCATTTACCCCTGCAATCATAGTAAAAATTAAAATAAATAAAAGTTCAAGTCAAATAATAATATGTTTGTATACATATATATATATATACCTTGGTATATCGCTGTAAGCTGCTGGATCCATTGGATCTAAAGTTCGGTCTTTTTTATCTTTATTAACTTCTAATTTTGAGCTTCTTCTATTTTCAGGAACTTTAAATTTTTCTTTTGTAACTACTTTGTAATCTTTTTTTGGTTCGGAGCCTTCAACCTGTATAATTAATAAAAAAAAACATTTTTTCAATATAATTATCTGTTTTCAATTCAAAATGAATAGTTATTAGACAACTTACTTCCATAGGTTCTTGATCACTACCACTGTCTTCACTCGACATATCGTCTTGATCAGCAGCTTTAAGATGTAATTCTTCTCTTAACTGTGATGCTGGTTGAGAAATTTGGCATTTTGGGTGGCCAGGTGGTAACCAAGATACTAAATCAGACGACCAATCCCAATAGTAATGTTGACCGCTACGAGTTACAAATTCAAATAAATATAATATGCGTTATAAGTTACATGGAAATTTAGATTTAAAATTTTGATAACTTACACACCAGGATCATAAACAGCCTTCCACGTTTCTGGTAATGGATATTTCTGGATAAGTTTCATTTGAAGTTTTAAATATTTCTCATTAGGTTGTGTTTGTCCCACGCCCCACAACTCTTTACATTTTTTAGTACATTCATGATAAATATTATATTTGTTTGGACATCCAGAATATCCCTAAAATTATTTATAAAATTTTATTAGTAAATCTATTGACTAAAGAACAATCAAAAAAATATTCATATGATCAATACCATAAATTTTTGTGATATGTCTATTTCATCAATCTCTTCTTTTGTATTGTCATAATCTTCAGCAATTACTTCTTCATGTATTTTCTTTTTTGGTTCCTTGGAAATGACTTCTATAAAATCCATAAAAATTTATGAATGAAAGTTGTCAAATATATAAAATAAAACGTACCTTCTTTTTCAGATCCACCAATTAAACCTCGCTTTGCTAATTTAGCAGCTAGAGCTGCCGGTAATGGCATTGTTTTTATATGATTGAGTATTTTATTTCGAAAAATACAAAATATTCTGTATGTAGAAATAAACAAGGAATAAATGCTCCTAATTTAAACTATTATCAACCAGATAATTGTCACATAATAATATTAAAATTGAAGGGTATATTAAACGAAAAACAATTTTTATTCAGAAAATGTTAAATTTATAAATTATTTTTACGTATATTTTTCCACAACAACTTTTTGTATTTATGATAATAATTTTATTTGACACTTTTGCTAAATAAATAACCAATAACCTCAAAAAGCGTCTGGTGCTGCCATGTGGTAGAATCAAAAAGTATTGAGTCAAAATAAATATTAGACCGACGGTTGGTATATCATAAAATGTCAGTATTTTATTTGACAAATAACAATAATAATAATAATAACTCTAAAAAACAGTACAACAATCATACGTATCAAACGCCTATTTAAATTGGAGTTTTTAGTGCAAGTGTGTGCATTGTTATTCTTATTTTTAAGATGTTTTAGCATTAAATAAATTATTAAACACCATAGATTTCAAAACAATGAATTCCTATAAAAGTTGTTTTATTGAATGATAAAAATGTGTTATACTAAAAGAAAGTATTTTAGTATCTGTTGTCATGTGTTCATCATATTACATATTTTTCATTGATTAGATAAAATACTTGTGTTAAGCGAACTATTTTTGTTCAGAATGTATTCCAATATCAATATTTGAAACTAATTTTCGAAATGAACCTTTAAATGTAGTGAACGTGATTTCGTTATTCATTTTTAATACATCATTATATTCTGATTCTTATTTATTTATCAAAAGACAACGTTTAGTGTATGAAATCTATTTAGAATTACAAGTTATATGTGAAAGATTTATACAAAAGAAAAACTTAGAAATTGTTATTTTTTTCAACTAACCTTTTATTATTAACAATTATTATAAATATAATCGTAGAAAAACAACCATAAATTATTATGTTCAAAAATGTTGAGCCAACGTGGTTTGATTTTTGTATGGATTGGAATTTACGTTTCATTTTTATCACAACAAAGTGACTGCACACATTTGACTGGAACTTTTAATACAAATGAATTTTTTAAATTTTTAATCAAATTTGGTTTTCAACAAACCGATCGTCATCGTCAAAAAGATTCTTATGGATATATTTTTGGCAATATAACATCTCGTACAAAAACATCGAAACATGTAACATTCGCTGTGTTAGACAGAACTCACTTTCTAGAGTATTATGGGAACAGATCAGTGGTTGATAAAAATGCTGCATGTTCGATGATGTTTAATACATTGAATGAAAGTTCCTATGATTCTGATTGTAATTTAGGCGGTCAAGACTTTTTAAGGTATGAATAATAACGATTATTATTTTAAATATTCTAAGATAAACAGAAAATTTTCATTTCAAAATTTAATACTGATTTAATATTTTATAGGAGAGTACCTTGTGAGAAAGGAAAACTTTGTCCAGATGAAGATTTAGCTTGGAATGTAATAAAAGATCATCAATTTACCTATGTAATCCAAGATCTTTGGCAACCAAGATTTTGGTACATAAGTCTAGTTTCGTGCTATCGTAATATTAAAACGTGCCAATGGGAATGGTTTAATGATAGTATGACGCTTGATTATGATATCTGGCTTGTCAACGGCAATCCTAATAACAGTGGATTTAATAGTTTAACTTATCAATTTTCATATGATAGACAAAATACAGTTGAACTTTATTTGCTGTTTTTTCTATGTTATATTATACTTGTACCACTTCAATTATATGCTGCTCGATTGCAAAGACATCCAGTAACTAGACTTTTTACAGTGAGTCTTCTTCTAGAATTTATTGCAATTTGTTTAATTCTTATACACGTTTTAAAATTTGCACTGGATGGAGTGGGGTATGAAAAGTTAGAAGTTGCAGGCGATATTTTTGATATTTCATCACGAGTAAGCTAGAAAAAAACTTTTTAAACATTTTCAATCATAACAATTTCATGTTTTTAAAAATATATTTTTTTATTTCACTAGACAATTTTTATGCTTCTATTGCTATTATTAGCAAAAGGATGGGCAGTAACAAGAATTGAATTGACATGGAAGCCTTTAGTTTTCCTTATTTGGTTTTGTTATGGAGTAGTTCATATTTTATTATATGTCTGGAATATGGTACGTATTCTTTTTTTACTTATCAAGTAATAAATTCTTTCTATATCTTAAAATGAAAAAAATACATGAAAACTTGTAATTACATTCTTAACTTCCTAGATTAATCAGTAGGTTGACAATGATTATTGCGCTAGTAATGGCTTATCATTTATGTTTCAGACTGAAGTTGATATTATTGAAGACATTGATGAATACCAAACATGGCCTGGATGGTTTATTTTGTTATTCCGCAGTGCTATAATGATTTGGTTTTTGTTAGAACTGCGCAACACGATGACGTATGAACATAATACTCAAAAATTGAACTTTTTACTACACTTTGGTGCTTCTGCACTTGTGTGGTTTATATATTTGCCAGTAGTAGCATTAATAGCATTGCAAATTAGTGCATTATGGAGGTTCAAATTTCTTCTCGGTAAGTCGTATTCTTTATCTATTAATCGAGAGTGAATCATTTATTTTATTTTTTTTCTAAAACATAGATTATTCTTAGATTATTCTAAAACATATTCTTAATGACTTGACAAGTTTTAAATTTTTTTACTAAAATTTGTTTTATTGATATTTTGTATTTTTCTTATAAAATTGATTACACTTGGCAATTTTGGAAATAGTATACTTTATTAGTAAGAAAAAATCTGAATACATTTAATGTTTATTCATTCATACAATATTTTAAAAAAGTTTTCTTAAAAAGAAAGTTATTATTTCAATTTTCAAAATGTATGTATATTAAAAATTATTTTTTTAATTCTAAAGGAATCACGTACTCAGCAGATTGCTACGCATACTGTGTTATGACCCATTTATTGTGGCCAACCCGAAGCGAACAATATTTTTTACTTGCACAAGGTACTGACAATGGCGATGAATTAGATGAATTTAATGAGGCACCACACGTCTTAAATAATTACGTTGAACCTCCTGAACTTAGTAAAATTATAGCGTAAAATTTTTTTTGTTAATTATAGAAATGTCATTAATGTGATGTAACTTTGCCAAATTTTTCACATAACAAATTATGACACAATAATCTATTTACATCGTGTAAAACTACTATTTTTGCACATTTATCAGTCCATTTAGCTCATCAACAATATCTTGATTGGTTTCATTCGAATTCAAACGCGAATCAAATAATCTCCATTACTTAATGATAAAATATTTTTAAAAATCTAAAAAATTGAAATTTTTTAATAACTGATATGACATTATCTTGAAAATGCCTTATAACTCATTTATTGAGAAACCATGTATATCGCCATTTGTAAAAATTATCATGATAAAATAGTTGAATCAAAACTTCTTCATTCATTCATTGAAACATATTAAGCATACAGATATGACAGGATTATTATGCCATAATAATTTTTATTAACAGACATCAATAGTTATATTATTCAATATTTTTTGTAAACTTTAATACTCATAGATTTATGAAAGTAAAACATGTATATTAATTTCATAGGATACAGATATGACTTAAAAGCTACGTAGAGAAATTAAACTTATTTAAAAGAATTAATAAGTAGTAAAAACACATTTAATTTTTGTAAATGAATACTTACATTATTGCTCAAATTTGTGAGAAACGAATATGTTAGCCTGTAAGTTAATATTAATGTTATAGAAAAATTTATTCTTCCTTCAAAGCTTGTATTTTTATTATTACTCATAAACAGGTAACGTTGAACGAGGCTTGTAATTTTAAAAATTTATAAATGTATTTCATAAAATTTCATTATACATCGACTCCTACAAAACTTTTATTGTATTATAATACATTTTGAATCATCAAATATATAAATGGTATTAACAACAATAATATGCACATTTATCACTGAAATGAAAAATAGAATGATTGTAATAATGAATTTTTACTCTACGCTTAGTTTTTCAAACTATCAAGAACTCAAGACTAACATGAAAAAATTCATAATACTCAGATTGATTAAACATTATTATTGATAATCAATTCATGGATTTATTCTTTGAAAATAATTTTCACTATTTTATGTAAACTCAAATTTTCATTTCTTATCAATTTCACTATTAAAATGATTATGTTATGTATGTATTATTATAATTAAATAAGTTTGTTGACTAAAACATTTAATTCGATTGAATATTATCGTTTTCTAACAATAAATAAAATACATAAAAAATTATGTACATTGTTTTCTTTTTCCTTTTTTATCAATAATTAAAGTAATTGCAAATGAGATGTAACCTTATCAACAATACTATTAGGTCCAGGGCCAATTCCTAAAACAGTGATGGTTCCATATTCTACTTGTGTTCTACCTGCATCACGAATGAGTGAAGTTATCAAACCTTCATTTTTTGCTTTTTTAGCTAATTGTTTCAAACTCTCTTCACTTGAAACTTTAAGGACAATTTTTGGTTGACCAAGAGTTAACCATGCATCCAAAAATTCTTTTGTTAATTTACTACTTGAACATTGACTGAAACATTCAACTGCAGCGTGAGCACATTGAGATGCAACTTTACCTTTTCCCATTGGAATATCTGTTCGTACAACAAGAACCATTTTATATGGTTCTTTGGGAAAACCTTTTGTTAACAGATATTTTAATTTCCTCAGTAATAGTACCATTATCTCTGTATTGTAACAAACAATTGACTACTTATTTATAAAGCTCTTCTCGTGATTTTCTATACTTTTCCATACAAACTTTAAACTTTTGAACTTGATCTTGACATTTTCGCCAATCTTGTGTTTCAGCAATACATTCCTGATATCAAAAAAAACCATGATATAAAAATTAAAATTACTTAGGTTAGTTATAATGCAAATTTTACCGCAACTTGATAATGTAGCTCAATACATCCAGTTTGTTTTAGCATACGTTCAAGAGGATCATCAATTTCTTCTTTTTGTGACTTCGATTCCGTCAACAAAGTCATATTATTCTATTTTATTAAGCAACATTTATTTTTAAATATGTGCAAAAAATATCAATTCAGTCTTCATATTATGAACATTAGAAACAATCGTAGTCACTGCTACCAAACTAACAATGATAAAAACCAGTGATACCAAAATAATTAAGCATCAAATATTTTTCTTTTTCGAAATTTAAAATATTTAAACAAATTATTTCCGATAAATCAATAAGATAAGATTATTAAACTTATTAAATTGAATGGTTGAGATGTTTATTAGCTAAATTAGATATAAATATACGTAATATATATGTATATGTACAACGTATTGAACTTTCGACTGTATCCTAAAATATTTGGAGATGCGCGCGTTTCACCACCTTCGTGATCTACTACACTGATTGGTGAATAATAGAATTACAAAAGGCGTATATGTGTTTGTGTGCAGTGAGACTGGTAAAAGACGTCAGTCTAAACCGGTGATTAAGTCTGAATGTTCTCTATTAACAATGTGGGATTTATCACAGAAAAACGTAAGTCTCAATTTTCAAATAAAGAAGTTTATTCCTATGACCCTTGTACTTTATATCGGTCACTAGTATCACGTCCTTCCACACAGAACAGCATCTTTGCTTTTTACCTAAATTTCATGATATGACTTCTTGCAGCACATGGCTGCTCATCGTGCGCAGTGGTGATAAATCAAGGCGCGAACTAGTCAATAAAAATGACATAATATGAATTCGTAACTTAATATGAATAATTTATTATAGTTGAGATCATTTAAAGAAAGTCATATAAAAAATGCAGTTTTTTAGTGAAAAAACCTTACTCGTTAATGCTATTAATCGTTTTTATCGACTTAAGTTGTATCATAAAATACAACCATTGCGCGCGCATATAATTGGCGTATACATGCATGTATGCTTACACTTCGCCGCACTAAATAAAGCGTTGGTGTGATTCAAGGTATAACGTGTAACATTATAATTGTAATTTTTTCATAGTAACTAGTTCAAGTTGTTCGTTTAAATTATAATTAGATAGATTCTATGGTTTTTTTAAATTGAATAAATCTATTGTCATTTTGTATCATTATTATTCTTTCCGTCAATTAGGAATGTCGTTAAATCATTATCGTTTGCAAAAGGATATAAGTAATTTAAAAATTTTATATAACACGTGACATTAAATTTGTAAAATATCTGCTCATATACATTTGAATGAAAAGATTTAAATTAACTAGTTATTTGAGAGTTGATGAAATACAGGTATGCATACATGTATGTATTTAAATTTACATTTAATTGTTTATTACTTTAGGAAATTAATAAGATAGGTAATTTTCAAAGTAAGCCTTGATTACTATTGTAAGTAGAAAAAGAAATTTCGTGGAAGATTAATAAAATAGTCAATGATGATGCAATTGAGCGATTTTTATAGTCACGATTTTAATTTTCTTTATTAGAAAAAGAAATAATTGCTAGTAGATTATTTGATAGTATTAAAAAGCTTTAATTTACATTACAAAAATGAATATTTTATTGCAATTTTAAATGACTGAAAGTTATTTATTATTTTCTACGATATTAAATACCGATTGAAACTTAAATTATAAATTTAGCATTGCAAAAAATATCTAAAAATGTATTTTTTTCGATTATATGTATTGTTAAATTTATTAATAGTGACAATAATTTACAAACTAAATCTTAATAATTTTTTTAAGTCAAGGTTTGAATGATCTCGATTTGCAATATAGTTTATTTTCTGTACAACATTTTTTGAAAACAAATTCTAAAAATGAACAAGGTAATATTATTGTCAACTTTTAAATAAATAGTACGATATTTTTATCATTTCTATTGTGTAAAATTAATGCTTTTTATCTACAAATTTTTAATTATCATAATTGATATTATGGTTAATGATTGTAAGTATAATTTCTATCTATAATTGTTTACTTTTTTTTGTAGTACATAAAATGACATATATAACACTTAGACAATTCAAACTAATTAAATCGAATTGAAATCTTAATTTTTTTAAATAAAAAGTAACATGTTCGTGAGTAGAATGATAAAAAATGTGCTATTTTTAGTAATCTCGAAGATAATTTAATGCTCCTTTTTTTTGTCCGAAGTTTGTATGATCATTATTGCACAAGAGATTCATAGAAATAAATCAATGTTGTTAATACTCTTTAGAGTAATTAACACTGGAACGCTCAATACATGATGAATAACGCGAAACTAATCAGTTAAAACGTTCTAAGTACATATATAGTAGTTCATAACTTGAACTGACCGCCTTCCAAGAGTGTAGTTCAGTTTTGTCCAACAGATGGAGAATTTCTGCTCAATTCATATTGAAACCACCCAGACGGAGATTTTATATTTAAAAAATTCATTAAAAATACTTGTAATTAAACTTACACATCAATAAAATCATCAAAAAATGAAGAAAATCATAAAGAAAATTGTAATAATTATTTGAAGCTTTAAAAAAAAATTTTATGAAGGCTAGAAGGGAAAATATAACTTCTCGCATGTGATCGTGGTATAGGGTAGTTGGTATATAAGCTAGGAAGAAACCTAAAGCTTTTGTAGTCCGATGCTTCCCGGGTTAACAACCAGCGCATCGTGCGGCCTAATCCAGACCACATCATGTCCAGTACTCACGTACAGTAAAAACCGTCATCGATTCGATAATTTACTTAATTAAAACAATACTGTGGAAGTGACCATGACTACATTTTTGCTCTTTTTAATCACCAAATATCAAAATATTTACAATTCAATTAATAATTTTTATCGAGTTTGTATATTTACTTTTATTTATTATAAATATATTAATGAAAAATTCTTAAACGGAATAAAATATATTTTATGGTCAAATTTTTTGACACATTCAATTTGCAAAAGTAGTGTTAATAATATAAATTGAGTTATAACAAATACCGATAATTGAATAACATGAACAAGCCTTTACTTATTTATTTTTACAATCGTATATAAAATATCGATAGATGATAAGTTAAAAATAGATTAAAAATACTTTTAATTATTGGAAATATTTATTTAAATATGAATAAGAAAATTTTTTAATTTTTATTAAATATTTATTATGTCATTTTTAGGACATGTGATGTAACTAGATTCGACCATGAGGATGAAACATAACAGCATTCTTATACACTCGAGCCAAATTTCGACCTCTTTGAAGGATAGTTCGATAGGTTGTAGCAGTCATTTCGAGTTGGTCCCCCCTACCCAGTCTAGTCAAGTTTTCATGATAAGCAGAACACCGGCTTTCAAAATTATATAAACAAATATTTTATCAGCGATTTTATCATCGACATTTAAATCTGTTGATTTTAAATATTTTTTTTTTAATATATAAACTTATTTTTGTGCTTCAATATATACGTTGATAAAAAGCATTATTGATTTTAACCAACAATTTTAGTTGTACATAAACAAATCCTTCAAATTACTGAAAGAAACAAATTCAATTTAGATAAGTGGAATCATTGACACAATAAATTGAACAAATAATGGAGTCACAGGATTCGCAAGAAGATACTTTTGATGAAACCAAAGATTTATCGCCTATGGAAGTACATGACGTTCAAGACATGAGAAGAAAAACTAGCATTTTCAAGTATTATTCCTTCAAATCAACAGGTAAATTATTTAACCTCATTTTTTAGTTGGCCTAAATAATTAATATTTTTATTATCATTTGTTATTATTTTAATTAATCTTCCATTAGTAATCTTAATCAAAATGCTGAGGTTAAAGTCTGTCTTTGATAAGAGTTTATTTTATTTATTGTGGACAAAATTTAATATTAATTAATTGTAAAAAATTTTTTTTTAAATATATTTGGTTTTTTGATAAAATATTTATCTAGAAAATGTCAAAATTAAGTACAAAATCCGAATGACAGTTCTATCCGTAACATAAGGTTGGATGCTAATAATACACTCATGAATCTTACAGTACAGCACGAGGTTCAGCATCACGCGACAGTTATTAAAAGCTTTCGAAAAAATCTACGTATCACGTATATTTTCGTTAAGATACATGACAATCCCTCTGCATTTAATTTACTTTTCTTAATCACATAAATAAATTACTATTTACGGAATTATTTTTAAAAATATTTATAAATATTTTTTACTTGCAATTTTTTTTTCTACAAAATTTATAAACTGTTCTTTAATTTATGTATGTATTATCAACATAAATATCAATGCTATATTCATTTTTTAATTCTTCTAAAATAAATATTTGGCAATAATATTAACTTTGAAAGGTGAATTTGCTTCTTACGAAAAATAAGAATATATGATCATTAATAATACTTTTTGCAATCAATCAAATGAATAATAATAATAATCAGCTAATATAATTAAATTGTCGAATAATTCATGCAGTGTTATCTTTGTGACTTAACATTTTTTTTAAACGTTATTAAGAATAAATTTAAATTCATTCAATGCTAAAAAAATTTTATTTATTTAGAGAAGGAAAAAAGTATTTTTAATGCGATAGAAAGATTTGTAAAATTATTCTAATAGATAATAATAAAATAATAAAATTACAAGGAGGGTCAATTCAAGCCTCCACTGTTGACCAATCATTTGTCGCAAATTCAATGACGTCATGTCTCGGCGTACCGGCATATATAAAAAAAGATAAGAACGGTGAAGGAGAAAATTCATTTACTAACATGCCTCCAGACATGCGGTTCCGTTTATTTTTCTTCAGTTAACCTAATGTATCAATTAATAGTCTTTTAACTTTGATCTATCGATTGTAAGACGTGGAGTTATTTCATGCTAACTACTTGAACGGATATAACTGAATACATAATTATCATTATTGAGCAGTAAGAGTGAACGGCAAAGTAAACTATGGGTCGAAAGAGTGGTGACAAATATTCATCACCTATTGAAACAAACGTCGAAGAACTTAATTCGGAAACTGCTGCTGCTGCAGGCATGTATTTTTTTTTTGCAAACGAAAATCATTTTTTTCAACCAATTATTTTAAATAAAAAGTTAAAAACAAGAAATGTTTTATTATTACAACTTTTTATCGTCATACAAATAATGTTATTTTTTACATTTATAAATACTTCAAAATTATTAATTAATTAACAAATTAACGTCGAAGAAATGTTTATTCATCAGGTGTTAAAATTTTCGTTGCAAAGTTCACATACAGAATTAATAATTTAAATATAAAATAAAAACAGAATTAATCTAATAGGGTAAAGATTTTTTATAAATATATCAGACCGGTTTGATTAAAAATCTATGAATTAAAGAAGGGAAGTGGCTATAATTATAACTGACTTTTACATTCTGAACACTTGAATGGATTCGTACTCAATCGTCTGCGAAACTAAAATTACGAAATACCAATAGTAGGTGCAAAGTTCATGTATTAAAATAATCGATGAATGTTTTAGAAACACTGCCTGGTTCATCGAAAAAGTCTGGACCACTTGTTGGAGTTGTTGATGTTGGTACAAGGACAGTTCGGTTTGTGGTAAGGATAAAAAAAAATTTGATTCTATCATATTATTATTTTAAATTAAATTTATAGATATATATCAAAATCCATTAATAATAGCAATAATAAAATGAAAAATATTTCTAGGTGTTTACTGCGAAACGAGTTGCTGAAGTAGCATCTCATTCGATTGACATTGAACAATTATGTCCACAAGAAGGTTGGGCTGAACAGGATCCTAAAGAAATTTTGTTCGCTGTAAAAGCTTGTATAAAAGATGTTTGCAAAAAACTGGAAAAAAATGGTACTAATGTATCCCAAATTGTCTCCATTGGTATAACTAATGCTAGAGAAACAACTGTTGCATGGGATTCAACAACAGGAGAACCACTTTACAATGCAATAGGTAAATGAATTAAAATTTCAAAGTCATTATTCTATTTTTATTCGGTTATTTAAATTTCAATAAGAATAAAACTAATGATCAATTGTTTCTTCTTATAGTTTGGTCAGACACTCGTACAGATTCTGTAGTTGATCAAATAATCGCCAAATTTCCTGATAAAAGTAAAAATCATCTAAAACCGTTATGTGGTCTGCCAGTTAGCCCTTATTTCTCAGCTTTGAAAATTCGATGGCTTAAACAAAATGTTTCAAGTGTCAGGAAAGCTATTCGAGATAAACGATGTCATGTTGGAACTTTGGACACTTGGATAATATGGGTATTTACTCTTCTTAAGTATTATCATGATAAGCATGTAAGATGTTTAAAAATATTTTATTTTCTATTTTAGAATTTGACAGGAGGTAAAGATGATGGTCTTTATATCACCGACGTAACCAATGCTTCCAGGACCATGTTGATGAATATAGAAACATTATCATGGGATCCTACTTTATGTCGTTATTTCGATATTCCAATGAAATTACTACCTGAAATTAAAAGTAGCTCTGAAATTTACGGTAAAATCACTGTTGGACCTCTCAAAGATATTCCAATATCAGCAGTAAGTAATTCATTACTGGACTATTTTATGTTTGTTTTTTAAAAGCCAGTTATTTAATATTATGATTAATTAATGTTATGAAATACTTCAACAGATTTTAGGTAATCAGCAAGCAGCTTTAGTTGGTCAAAATTGCTTAAAGCAAGGACAAGCAAAGAATACTTATCGAAGTGGTTGTTTTCTTCTGTGTAATACTGGCACTACGGTATGATTTATATTAATAATTAAAATACATATTAAGTTATAATGAATCTTGTCAAATGAAAATTTTATATACATTTTCTAATAGTGCAATAATTAAATGATAACAATTAAATCAGTAAACATTATTTTATATCATTAGTATTCGTTAGAATGAAGGGAGTGAAACAACTAAAGCTTTTATTCCCTTTTAATGCTTTCTTGGAATTTATAAATTAATTCATTTATTTAATTAAAAAAGTAATTTTATTTACAATTTGTTTTCTACTTAATATTTCACTTTTCTGTTAAATTAAGTGTTAACATTAAAACTTGTTTCTGATTTTTCCAGAGAGTGTACTCTTCGCACGGTCTCGTTACAACGATAGCGTATAAATTAGGTCCAAATAGCCCAGCAGTCTACGCTCTTGAAGGTTCTATTGCAGTCGCCGGTGCAGCAATTAAATGGCTTCGAGATAATTTAAAACTTATTAAAGATGTTCATGAAAGTGAACATTTAGCTGAGAGTGTTTTCAGTACAGGAGATGTTTATTTTGTGCCTGCTTTTAATGGCCTTTATGCTCCATATTGGAGAAAAGATGCAAGAGGGTAAATATTTTATTTCAATACATACTGTATATAAACAGAAATATTCCGTTATAGTTTATTAATAACTAAAAAAATATATTATTATTATTTAACAGTATTATCTGTGGTCTCACAGCATTTACCACAAAACAGCATATCATTCGTGCATCTTTAGAAGCCGTATGCTTTCAAACTAGAGATATTGTTAATGCTATGTATAAAGACTGCGGTTTTCCTCTAACAAAACTCCACACAGATGGTAAAATGTCAACTAATAACTTACTCATGCAGCTTCAAGCTGATCTCAGTGGTATACCAGTGTGTAAGTATTTGCAAAATTTTGTGTATTAATTATGAATAAAATAAATTATCAAGTTATCAATAATATTTCAATTGTTTTTTAGTTCGATCAACAATGCCAGACATTACTACGTTAGGAGCCGCGATGGCAGCAGGACAAGCTGAAGGTATTGAAGTTTGGCCACTTGATGGAGAAGAGACTGAAACTGTTCCAAATGACACATTTTTGCCTACAACAACTCCAGAAGGTAGCATCTATAATTAAATTCTCGCTCAGAAAAAAATATTGAAATCATCATGTGATTTTCAGAAAGAGACGCTAGATATACAAAATGGAAAATGGCAGTTCAAAGAAGTTTAGGTTGGGCAGAAACAAAGACACCTGGACAAATGACAGGTAAAAATAAACATGACAAATATAATCATTTTTTCTTAACGTATTTTTATATTATTCGAACTGAATTACAAAAAATATATGATGTGTTACAGAAGAGAGATATCGAGTATTAGCATCCATACCGGCTAGTTGGTTCATTATGAGCAGTTTCATACTGTTACGATTGAGTTATTACTTTAACGACCGGTGACAAAATTTACCTCATTCTGTGTTTTTTCATCCGGTTCAATCGATACGAAGCAGCTAGACACCAATAATGATATCTTGTTACATAGTATATAATTAGATAGTTGAACAATTAGATTTAAATATTAAATTTGTGATGATAGCTTATTGATGTAGGTTTAAAAAATCATCAACATGGAATATTTATTATAAATAATATTTGTTAATACTATTTATTTCGGCGATTATATTGACTGAGTGTACGCACACATGTAATTTGTATTATTTTAATTTTTGATATTTCGGTTATTTAAGGGACTGTAACTATGTTCTAAAATGTAAAAGCGTACAGTTTACTTGCCGATTGTGCTCAATATAATATTAACTGTTTTTTAGTAAGCCCTACTTTTTTATGTCTGCTATTATTTGTTGAATCTAGCTGTAGAAATATATAGAGATTTTTATTTCCTCTATGATAAAGATTATGTAATTATTTAAGGACAAAATGTCCTCATTTTTTATTATTTATTCTTTTTACGGAGTACTATTGTAACATACTTCAAGCACAAAGAATATAAGTAATGTAATTATGGTGTGAAAGGAGAATGAAATTTGTTACAAAGTATTCCAGAAAAATTGCTCTCATTATTATGCTAATTGTAAATAAATAACAATAATTTTTCCCCGTTATGTACTTAAAAATTAAATTAAAAAATGTATTAATTTATTAGTTGAAAATTTATCTTCATTTATAATGTATTTATTGATTTTAAAATAATTATTACATATTCCATCATCACATTACAGTTAATTTTAAAAAAATGCTTCAAATGTTATTGAAAAATAATGTATTAAAAATTTAATGACATATAATAAAGAACTTGTTGAAACAATATATAAAAATTGTACTTTATTCGAGGAAAATTTTCATGAGAAATTTAAAATTTCGCGCTAATTGAAACTTGGTCAGCCATTTTGAGCAGAACGTATATTCATGTCTTCTGATTGGAGATCTCGCGTATCGGATACATGAATGTAGGAACGATTATCCATGTATGTACAATATCTGTAATTAACTTACAAGTAGTGTCGTGAGATCGCGATGTCGTTAGTTTAGAAACAGAATGCGATAATGCATGATCTTTACAATACAAGTCTCGCGCGCGAGACCTCGTGAGAACCGTCAAGTAGAGAATGGTAATGAGAACGAATAAAAAATGTGTTTATTTAAGTGCAGCGGTGTTACATAGTAAAAAAGTGAGAAGGTGTAATAAGTGAAAGTGTGAGTGCAACTGAGAGAGCAAGTATCGCGTTGATTACGATACACAAATCTCGAGTGAGATATTGTGTGAAGTATTACCGGAGTATCATACATTACAGTGAAGAACTGTGTGTACTTCAAGATGTCGTCGGGTCATAGTAGCAGAAGTAGTCGTACTGCACAAATCAGTTCGATCCTCCAAAAGCTCCAGGGTCGATTTAGTGACGCAATGACACCACCAAAATTATCGACAGATAAACGAATGCTCGACAAAACATGGAAGCTTATGGATAAAGTTGTTAAACTTTGTCAACATCAACGAATGAACCTTAAAAACTCTCCTCCGTTTATCCTTGATATCCTACCGGATACATACCAACGATTGCGATTAATATATTCTAAGTATGAAGATCGTATGCACGTTCTTCATAGCAACGAGCATTTTTGTGTATTCATTAATAACCTCATGCGAAAATGCAAGCAAGCCATTAAATTATTTAAAGAAGGCAAGGAAAAAATGTTCGATGAGACTTCACATTATCGCAGAAACTTGACGAAACTTAGTCTCGTTTTCAGCCACATGCTCTCTGAGTTGAAGGCCATCTTCCCAAACGGCGTCTTCGCGGGCGATCAGTTTCGTATCACCAAGTCGGACGCTGCAGAATTCTGGAGAGAGCGCTTCGGTAACAGGTACTCTTCAAAACTGACAATTCTTTTTAAACTATTCACATTCGGTATATTTTGCTTCATTCGCTCAGGGAAAACATTTCTAGTCCCAAGTAGCGATTTTTACTCCTTCAATTCTATAGATTGCAAAAAATTTCATACTATCATAGTACCAATTATATCTTTCACATACAAATGATTGTGAGTATTTATTAAAAATATTTTACCAATTACTTTTATGTTTCAACGAAACGGTCATATTTCTTCAATAAATAAAAGAGATCTTTATTTAATAAGAATTAATTTTAATACACTGACATCGCTTAAACCCTCATATATTCTCCTTTCAGCGACAATGTTATCAATAAAATCTCAAATTAAACAAGTGAGCCGAATAAGTTCATTGAACTACACTGTCATATATTCTGGTTATTACTCAGTAATTACGTACTTTTACACTCATCTTTATTGTCAGTGTAGTACATAACTTGTGGGTTACTAATTATTTTACTTTTAACTAAAAATGATTTATTAATAATAAATTTACGATGATAATTCAAAAATAAACTTCAACCATTTTATTTACTTTTTAAATGGCTATGTTGACTTTAAAAATTAGAGTCCAGGTTATAATTGTTTAAATCCATTGATGATGTGCACCCGCACTGCTTTCGTTTGTCTAATGTGTGTATGATGTTTAAAAATAACTATCAGTCATGAATGGTTCTTCTAGTGATGAATGTAGCCAATCATCATTCAAGGCACGTGTGTAACGTATATCAACTCAGATTCGTATGCCAAAGCAGTAAAAATATTAAGATATTAAAAGAAAGTAAACCATCATATTTATTTGTTGTTTACTTACAAACGTATTTAAAGCTCTTAAGAGTTTTCAAAAATATTTCATTTACCATGTAGTTAGAGAAAGAATGAATAACAGTTAACAATTTATTCTTTAAAAATAATCAAGTATAGTACTTTAGTAAATTAATAATATTATTATAATTAGTGTGATAATAATTTAATTAATATTATTGTTATTTATATAACTCAATGATTTTTGAACTTTTTACAATTTCAAGTTGGAAAAAATTAACTTAAGTAAAAATAAATAAATGACATAAAGAATTTCTACATTTATGAAATAACTGAATTCCATTGACTTCAAAGAATTAAATCTAGGTATTAATTCCTATTGATTTATTCAAAGTGAGTAAATTAATTCTTTGTCATACCTCCATCCAAAGTTAAAGTTTGCTCCCTGTTTTCAGGTCGCAAAGCAACGTGTTATCCTATATGGAAAGACAAACAATCATTTGTGCGCATGCTCAAACGGATGCTGTTTTTCTCTGTGAGAACAAAAACATCCCTCGAACTTCAAAATCGAGAAAAAATTTCAATTTTAGATGATGATATGACAAGAAATAGTATATTAACCAGAGAAGTAAAGTAAGACATCCTTACCTTTTGTTCAGGTGGCAATTTTATACCCAAGTCAGATTATCATACCTTTCTCTCTAAGTTCACAATATTTAAAAATCAATGAAACCATAGCTATTAACTTTTTTTTGTGAGAAAATTGTAATGACTCCGAAAAGTTTTTTGGAGTAAGCAAAAGTGGAAGCTTCATTTATAAATATTGACATATCTTTATTTTCTTCATTTCTTAAAATTTTAAGAGTTATTTGTAATGATTTTCAAGTGGTTGTATATGCATATGTGTACATAAACATATATGTATGTATGAATGTGAATGAATTTTTCCAGAACGATGACTCGCAAAAGAAATGATATTCTATTCATTGAAAGATCATTCGACGTGCATTGATAATGATAAAATATCAAATTTTTATGTGACTCGGTTCAGTTGTTCTTTTGTTTAAGTGAATGATTTTAAAAAGTTATTCATTTTTTCTTTAAATTCATCATACAATTGATGTTTTGTTAACGTAAAGCGATTTGTTTTTAACACGAAGTGCATTTTATGAAATGTGATCAGAATCTGTTAAGTGATATTTAGTAAACTAGAAATAGGTTGAGCACTTTTTGTTATTATCAAGATTATTTGATGATACTACAATTTATCTTATAGTCTATCTTATCAATGATCCTCTACAAGACAGACAATTAGGGATTTTTTAAAGCAAATGATACTTTTTGTCAATAATAAAAATAATTAGCGGAAGGGTGGGTAATGTGGAACACTCGAGAGAATGTACTAATTTATTAAAATAATTTAAAAAATGTTTATTACACTTTTTGTTTATCAAATTTTCAATTTATTAATGCATTAAAAATTATTAAAATTTGTTAATATAATGGATAATTTGTTGATTTACTTTTTTTCGTGGTGTTCTACTTTACCCCTCCCCCTTCTCCTATTATAAGATTTATTCACATAAAGTTATCTTTAAAGCAATAGATAATTTGTCAAATACGACATTGTTGAGAAAATATTTATTGTAATTTATACAAACTGTATAGTGTATTGCTTTGCAATCAGCTCCTAAAGAGTACGTAATATTCCAAAAATTTTTTACCAATTTACATTTAAATAAAATTACAAAAATAAATGTTTTATCAGTTTAATTTACTTTATTTAATTTTTTTATAAAAACATTATTGTTATGAGTACGTGAAACAAATGTTTCTTTTTTTTTGTAATAAAGAATAATATTGTATGATTAAAATATGGTAGAAGTTATGGTGAAATTAGTGTACTGTAGTCAACGACAGAATCTACTCAATTACTTTAGTATGAGGACCTTCAGTTTCCACCGTTTCCGGTCAAATGATCCACGGACATCCGGCTAGCACTTATACAACGATACAGACTACACTCTTTCGGGTCGTCATTGGATCAAAACTCTTTTATTCTAGGAACTCACACCCTCTTTTTTACTCTCTCTTCATACGTAATTTGTTCCACTTGTTTCTTGACGACGAAAAATTTCATGAGTTATTTCATTCATACGATTACAACAAAAAAATACATTTTATTCTCATTGATGATTATAATTATATACAGTGTTCTTGAAATAAATGAGACCAATTTTAAATTTATTTATTTTGCTTGGTATTAATACGACATTAAATGAATATTGCAACAACTACTTTTTTTAAAAAAAATATTTTAAATATCAAAATAACAAGTTCTTTTATTTTTTTTAAAAATTATATTTCTTTTGGCTCAGGTTATTTTTTTTCACAATTATTAACTTAATTCATAAACTTAATGACAAGCTTTTAACCTTTTATTGACTTATAATACTTTTTTGTTTGTTCGAATTTTCATTTTAATTTTAAAGCTTTTAAATGGAAAACAAAAAAAAAGTCTAGAAAGTATTCGCATAAAAACGGTGAAATGCCTTGAACGATTCTTGACGTCAAGTAAAATTTGAATTCTAAAGTTAAAAGCGTTCTGTTATGTCTGGTAAAGTTACTACCAAGTTTTTATCATCCATCTGAAAAAAAAATTCGTCTATCATTTTATCATTTTTGTTGCCACAAAGATTGTTACTACGTATAATAAACGTTCAATTTTAATAAATATTCCCCTAAAGTACTAAATAGTGTAATCTTAAAACTTTTTTGTACTAAAATCAAAGCACTAGAAACTTTCTAATATCTTTTCAGAAGATTTTTAAATTGATAATTTTAATAATTAATTAAATCCCTGATTGAATAAAATTTATTTGAATTTCTTAAATTTAATTAAATTGACATCTGAAAGTGATATGCTATAAATATACTATAGTGCTTTTATAATTCGCTTTTAAATGTTTCTAGAAATTTGTCGAAATTTTATAGTTTGTTTATGGCATTTTGTGAACATTTTAATTGTTTATTTTCTAATCACTTATTAAACCCTAGATTTTCAATGAAATAAATATAAGTGAATTGAATTTTTGGTAGAATCACTAAAGACTTAAAAATTGTAAAATTATTGGACTTTTTTTTAAATAAAAGAGAAATAATTTTAACTGACGATGAATTCCCTCACAATGTGATCGATGAAGGGTCAAAATAAATCAATAAAAATCATCGCAGTTACCATTAAAGAAATTTGGCCATAAATTTACTTATATCCGTGATAAATAATTTTTTATTATTATAAACATGTTGCTATTCTCCCACAAGACTAACTTTTAATAAATAACGAGCATTAATATGTCAATTAATGTGAAAATAAATTGAACAAATAAAGATCATTCATTGTTTTTCGCCGATTTTTCAAAGACAATGACGTATGAGGCATTTCTTATTCATTTTTTCATAGAAATATATGTTTAAAAGTTTCAGTGAAAATTACTCATTTAAAATCTTGAAACATTTCATGATCATATTCTGTTGAGCCATAAAAAAATCCTATGTTACAGACAAGAACATTTTTTATTTAATTAATTTAAAATAACGATTCCATCAATTCCATCAATTTTAATTGAAATTTTATACACAAATGTACTTTTTTTTTATTTGCCCCCAAGCCAATACAGAATTACAAATAAATACTTTTTTTTTCTATTTCAATTAAATCTCGAAGCTCGAAAAAGCTGGATTTAATTGATAGTAATTGACAGAACCAGTTAACGAACAAATAGAAAATATTTGAAAATAAATATTGTCCTCAAACGATTTCTATAATAAACACAAACAATCATTTAAAAACGTTCAAGTTATTACAAAAAAAAAAAAACAACATTCTCTGACATTTCTTAAATAAAATGAATACACATAAATTAAAGAACGTATTTGTACAAAAGTTCGGATGTATTTACAAGTAAGTTACACTATCACTAACTTAGATACATGATATTCAGTGTATACATATGTATGTCTATCACACACATAGAAACATTGGAAACCCAACGAAGGTTCCCTGCTCGACGAGTTAATCTAGTATCCGGACGAGAGCAAAAGCGGAAGGAAGGGGACGTGACGTCACGATTGAGGAAAATTAAAACAGTAATAACACAAATGTGCAAGGCTATGCCTGCCTTCTATACATATATCAGCCTACATTT